GAGGAGCTAACACACTGATAAAAGGGGAATATCTAGCCCAGAAGGTGCCGAAAGCTTGATGATTGCCAAAGAAGCATGAAGTTACCAAAAATCGAGGCTAACTGGGAAAAAGGTAAAGGCAGCAGGGGGAGATTGTAACCACCGACTCAATTCAGAACCAAAAAGTAGCATCCTTATCTGCGCAAATATGCAATATAGACAATACCTCTGCTCTGCGTGTGGATCGGCGTACTGCACACCGGGTAAACGATCCCACTTTTGGGACAACAGTCTGATCTTGTGTTGAGCCCGTTCACGGAGAGAAACCACTTCTGATTGGTGTTGCAGAGGCAGCTGAGCCAGTGCAAACCTTGTCAGTCCTTCTTCATGATGAAGAAGTCTTTAATTTTCAGCTGTTCTAATGATGTAGTTTGGGGTTGTTCAGCCTGGAGAAGAAAAGGCTGTGGAGAGACCTTATGACAGCCTTTCAGTACTTAAAGGCAGCTTATAAGGAAGATGGGGACAAACTTTTTAGCAGGGCCTGTTACAGTAGGACAAGGGGTAATGGTTTTAAACTGAGAGAGGGTAAATTTAGACTGAATATAAGGAAGAAATTTTTTACAGTGACACTGGTGAAGTACTGGAACAGGTTGCTCAGAGAAGCTGTGGGTGCCCCATCCCTGGAAACATTCAGGGTCAGGTTGGACAGAGCTGAGAGCAACCTGATCCAGTTGAAGATGTCCCTGCTCACTGCAGGGGGGTTGGACTAGATGACCTCTAAAGGTCCCTTCCAGCCCAAAGCATTCTATGATTTTGTGATCCAGACTGGGTAATGGAGGCAAGAGGTGCTCACAGGTGGCAGAGCTGACAACAGCAGCACTGCACAGCTGAGACAGAAAGAAGGATTCGGTCCGTCCTTCCTTCCTGGTGGCTCACAGTGTGAAGTCTGCTCATTGTGACTTGTGGGACAGCATCTTCACTAGCAGTCAGCCTGCGGGCTGATACCGCTCTCTGACCTGGCTGTTGAGACAACTGAGCACCAATGTATGTGTAAGAGAAGGGGTTGTGATGGCAGGGGAGAGGCTAAACAGCAGCAGTCCATACTTAGATCTGTTCAAGCTGCTGTGTAATCAAATCCTAAATGTGTTAAAAGCCCGTGCAAAAAGGGTAGCAGAACAGAAAGGATGAAAGAAGCCTGGTCTGGCTCCCTGGTATGTACCTCACAGAGAGACCCACGGGCAGCAGAAGGGACCTGTGTCTCCTGGCTGCCTCTCTTCCTCACTAAGGAGATGGAAATGTGTTTCTTTAATAGATAAAATATATTAAAATATGCATACTAATACATGCATAGATTAAAAATTTATATCATGTATGCATGCACTCATGCTGTTTACTGTTCAATGCCTAGATTCTTAGGTGTTTTAGCCAGTTTAGTAACTCCTCAGCTCATAAATAATTGCATGGCTTATGAAAAATTTTTCTTAGAAGTCACGTGCACAATGTTAGGCCTGCTGCTTCCTCAGAAATTAAGTTAAATTGTCTGGCATTCTTCCTCCAGCAAAACTAGCTGTTGATCAAAAAAGATTTGGTTCAGTCTGACGATGCTCCTGAGGGTGCTGGTGGGTGTGTCATCATCCCACTGATTCTCCTCTAAGATAGCTGGGAAAGTACCGCTGTCCTCACTCACCTTGAGTAAGTGTGGTTGCCTACCTAATATGGTAACTTAAAGAGTTATTACACTCAGTGCTACTGACTGTTCTGTGTTTTGACTAACATCCCGGTCACTGCAAACTTCAAAATGAATTTGTTGGGTTATGCAAAACACATGCCTGCCTTAATGAATGGTTTCAAACTAAGACCAACTGGTTTAACTCCCTAAGAACACAACCCTGATTTGATGGTATGGTTTTTTCCCACTTTGTTGTGATAGTGGTGGTAGATCTTGTCTAACTAGTTTTTGTTCCCCTCTCTCTGTTCTTCCGTTCTACTAGATGTTTTGGATCCAGACAGATTGATACGATGTCCGTATAACAAACACCATCTAATCAGAGTCTGTCGGTTTTCCTGTCACATTGTAAAATGTAGGAAGGTAAGCTGGGCTGCCAAACAAGGCACTGAATGGGAGTAATTCTGTATGCATAAATAAGGCACACATGTTCTCGTTACTGTTGTGTTTTCTGGCTAGCTGGAGTAAGTTCCTGACAAACAGCCTTGTTTAGCCTGTATTTCATATGACCATTATTTGTTTAGTAATAGCTTTGAGTACCTATTAATTCACCCAAGACCAGTGTAGTTCTGTTGAAAGGAGATAGTGATTCCTCATGGTTAGGTCAGGGAGGAGATTCTGGTCTCTTCCACCAGCTCACGTGGAGGTCAGGTGCATTTTTCCACTTGAACAGAGAACTCGGTCTGGGTTATGTGCACCCCTTCTGGCTAAGTAAGAGTAGAAGTGTTGTGAGGTTCCAATTCGTTCTTTAAGTGCTGGAAATGCAGCTGCATAGCAGGGGTTATTTTTGGTTTTTGTTTTGCTGATGACTATTTAATGTGCCTCTGGCACAAACTGCACATCCTGGGCTAGGGGTATATGGGAGAGCTTTTTTTTTCTGCTCTTCCTCTTTTATCGAGAATTTGAATACAAATCACTTGATGGAAAGCATTCCTTTCTCTCTTCTCCTCTGTTGTCCTCATGGTTTGTTTTCTTTAAACCTGCCAAGTGCTAGCATCTGGCTGAGCTTTGGGGTTTTGCTGACACTTTTTAAAACCCAGTTGTTCCTCTTGAAGTTTACCAATGAGTTTGCCAGTGTGTTTTTAAAGTAATGTAGCAGTGCTCTGTCTACCAGTTAAGATGCCACTGGAGGATATGTGTCCTGGTATCAGTACTTATAAACAATTCATTTTGGTGAAACTAGAGCCTTAAAAAATAGTAAGTAACTAGTGAAAGTGGTGGGCAGAACTAAGTGGCGAGTACCTGTGTCTTTCCAATATTCAAAAGGGCTGAAATTTTCCTTGTTGACCCGCTGCAAATTTTGGCAAGAATGTGCATCTGAGCCAGGTGAACAATGTTGGCGAGGAAACCTGTAACCATGTTGGTTTTGCTCTTGTGTTGCATAACTGATGACCTGACAGTTTTGGCAAGCTTACCTAGTTGGGAGGATGAGGTGAGATAGTGGTCACCAATGGACACAGTTGGTGTTTGTAAGTAATTAGCAGATGGAGGGCGTGGGGATTGTCATCCGATCCATCTGAAGATGCCACTGTGTGATTATTTGCAGTGGCAAGCATCTGGGTGGAGGTTGTCCTTGCTTGGTAGTTTGTTGAATTCTTTTTGCATACCCTATGCATAAAATCCAATTAAATGCTTCTACCTGCCTCACCTTCCCATTGCTTTGTGCAGAATGCAGCCCTGCCCCACAAATGGGGACGCTGCAAGCAGAGCAAATTGAATCCTCTCAGTTTGAACTGTATTAGCATTGAGAAGCTTCTGCTATGTGGCCAGAATAGCTTGCTCAAGCTAGTTGAAGCAAATGATGGACACATGAGGACACAGCAGCCCTGGCTGTATAGACTGGGTAATGACAGTTGCCTTGGATGTGCCTGCAGCCTGTGCTGCAGGCTGGGTTTTGGGGGGGTGGGGGCTGCAGCCTGTGCGGCAGGCGGGTTTTGGTGGTAGTGGAGGAGAGACTGCCTCGAGCAGCGGCTGTACAGGGCTCTTCTGCCTCTGCATCTGCCTCGGGTGCAAGTTTGATCCCTGACCAGCAGAGCTGCGTCAGTCAGAACCAGGCAGGCAGTGGTACAGTGGCAGAGTTGTGCTTTTCCCAATAAAGGCTGTATCATTTGCAGGGGGTGGACTGATTTACCGTAGTGACAGCTGACAGTTCTGTCAGTAGAACCTGTGCCTGCCATAAAATTTACTTGAATAGTAATCGTGTAGCACCAAAGTCTGCAGGTGGAATGCTACCAACTTACTGGTTGTTTCGAAAGGTTTAAGGAATTTCTCTGCCTTTGTGTGTGCTTATTTAAAAAATATCTGAATGAGTTAGACTTGCTTAACATCTCTCCGCTATTGTTTTTAAAGTAGTTTCATCTGTGCTTTAAACCATGCAGCCGTATTGTCAGTGTTGCAGCCAATGGTAGGGAGTTTGTCTGAGGGTATGTTTCATTTCAGTCAACTCAAGGTGGCTCAATTTCTCAGTGAACTGTGTTTTAAAGAACAGTCATGTTATTTCCCCTAGCACTTTCAGTAAGTGTCTGAACAATATATTGCTGTTTCTTATTTAGTCTCTTTTTTAAAGCAACATCACAAATATCCTTGGGGGTCTTTTCTAAGGATTAGAAAGAGAGAAGTGATCTTGAGAGATATGGCACATGATTTTCGTTTTCCCTTGTCTAGAACTACCCTGAACTTGCAAAGGAATTGGTCACGTGCCCCTTCCATGCTCGCCATCTAGTTCGTCAGGCTGACCTCAGCGATCACATAACAAAGTGCAGATACAAAGAGTTTATTGAGCAAGATATAGGTAAGACAACCACCCATGCTCTGAGATGCTTCTTCACCCCAGGGGACTGAGGTCTCCTGTTTGTAAGGATAGGTCATAAAATTACAGAAAAGTGGGTGTCAAATTATTGTCTATAGTTTTGTGTGACACAGCAGCTTAGGGGAAAATTGAGTCTTATTGCTTTGATTTATTGGGTACGTTCATGAGAATATTGCAGATGGTCCCGCTAGGCCTTGCACTTGTTTTGTTACCAGAATGTAGAATAAAAAGGCACCCTAGACTATGCACATTGAAGTACCTCCAGCAGGAGCTAGGATGCTTTAATGACCAGGACAGGCGCTTCTTTTGGTAGAGCCGATCTCCCTTTGTTGAGGCTTGACTAAAAGTTGGTTTCTACTGAAGAGGTGTCTGAGCTATGGAAACCCCTGCAGCTGTTCCCTTCCAGGGCAACCTGAATAGTTCACTCCCACCAAGAGATGGTTCAGTTCTTCTAGGCTGCTCTGCTGCTGCACTTGCTTCGTCTGCCATACAATTAAGATTTCAGTCTCCTGCCCAGTGAGATAAGGTGGGATGGGGGCTGTCCAAAACCCCCAAAATATTTGGGAAGGCATCCTGTGCTATGCAGTGTCTTTTCCATCCCCTGCAGTGGCTCTTTAACTATTGCTGTGCTGCAGAGCAAATAGATGGTTTTCTATCTTCTGTAGAGTTGCACTGAGGCTGGCAGTGATGCCTGCACACAAGTTCCATTGGGCAGAGTCTTTCCCTGTTCATTGAAAAAGGTGCATTCGAAGTTGCTCGATTTCAGATCAATAGCTGGCTCCAGGGTGTACCTAACCCGTTTGCATTGTGCAGGGTTTCCTCTAAAGCCAAGCATCTTAATCCAAAGCGTTTAGTGCCTCTGAAGCACGATTGACTGCTAGTCACTGAGTTTTCTCTCTTCCTGAAGTGAATCAGTCCTCTGACTTCGAGAGAGAGCAGATGAATGCTGTGAGCACATGGCAGGCACCTCCATGTGATGAAGACTGGGAAGCAGGTAAGGAACTTCCCCATCTGCCACACTGCTACCTTCTCCCTGGTCCTGTCCTGCAACTCTGCTTCTGAAAGGTGAGGTTAGAGATGCTGTTCTCTTAGGTCTCACTTGTAGGACACCTTGCTTATGCTCATTCCCAAAAACATGCATCCCTCCACACAGCAGACTTTTGTTGGTATAGAGAACTATTCAACATGCCTGCCATAGCTGGCATGGAGATACATTTCCAAGTATCTGCTCCTTCCGTTATAAGCTTTTGTATCTTATGTGCAGTAATGACAATGGAAACATAGAAGTCATCACGTTCCTCAGTTAAAAGACAGCGACGCATATACATTCATCATTAGATCAACTTTTACTCCTTCTTGAACATGTAGAAATATGACATATTCCTGAGCCACATTATCTGTTTCCTTTTGCAGAGTCGTTGGAGCAGCCGAGTTCTCCTTTTATTTGGGGCATGTCCAGCTCTGGCACAAACAGGTAGCGAATGCAAGTTTGATTCCTTACGACAATGTTTTGTATAGAGGAAAATCGCAGCCTATTCCCAACCCAGCCTCGATGGCTGGGCATGGGCTGACTTTGCTGCTGTACAATACCTGGGAGGAGGGGTACTGATTAACAGTGAACTGTTACTTGGCGTGCTGGTTCAGTGTTACTTGCTTTCTCGTCTGACTGGCCCATACAAGAGAAGGAAGCCCTTAGGAACACAGATACTTGGCGCTCTTGTATGCGTGTGGCAGGGTGCTCTTCCTGCCTGTAGCCTGTGTTCAGTTCCTGCTGGATGTTTGGCCAATATGCAGGGGAGAAAGGTGCTAAGCCTTAATGCTGACTTTGGAAATGTGGCCAGGTGCCTCCCGCTGGAGCCTTTTCAAACAATTACTGAGCTTCTGTTGAACTAACGATTAGCCAGCAGTCCCTTGTGACCTCCTGTCGCCTTAGACTTGGCAGATATGCTTGCATTAAGGCTGTATGTTAGCAGAAATCTCCCCTTCTTGCCCTTCGCAAAGCATAATTGCAGTTTGGGTTTGGGGGATCGAGGAGCTTAATGGCCAGTTGCAAGCTGGATGGAGCTGCCTTGACTGGTTTCATTGATCCAACGGTGGTTGCATGCTGTGTACCAGACGTGGTGGCACCACCAGAGTTGCCAAAGCAATTTTAAGGTTCGTCTCAGCCCGTATGCAGCAGCAGTCCTGCACCTGACAGCTCTGCAGTTCTGTGTGAGCTCAGCCGTGATACACCTCTCCTTCCATAACAGCAGTGACATCTGTTTTCACTTGTTACACTGTTGGAAAACTTTCTAGTGTTAAGTGCATGTATAGCTGTTCTAAACACCAGCACCTCCGAGTGGCAAAGTACCATGCCCCTATGTCCCCACTCTCCTCCATCCTATAGCAAAACGCATAAATTTGAGCAAGTGTCAGGAGAAGTAACTGAAATCTTTCCGTTCCAGTACCAGCTTTGAACACAAGAATTGCTTGCCTTCAAGAGTACGTGCCCCTGAGTCCTTCCCGTACGCTTGTCATGGAAAGGCTGTAAGTACTACGCGTGTGGTTTTGGCACTGTGACTTCTGTAGATGGTGAGAGTTGCCGAAAGCTCTGGCTGCAGCAGTGTTGTATGGCCACCACTGCATGGACAGGAGGGGTAGGATATAGCACCTGCCTCCTTGAGAGCACCTCCTGAGGAAATCGCATGCTTGAATCATCCTCTGTCTCCTTTCTTTGAAGCATCCTCTGTTTTTGTTATTTCATGTTCTTGACAGGCCTGTTCAACTTAAGCAGTCCCGCTCCCCAGCCACTTTGGCTCTGTCTCTCTAAACAAGTCCTTCCACACCATCCACACTAACCCCCTTCACCCCCCACTGCCCTCGCTTAAACAAAATCACTTGCTTGCTTTGTGTGACTCTGCTCACTGTTAGATGCAGTTAAGTCAGAGCAGGAGTAAAGCTAGGGCTGCTTAAACTGGCACTACTGGGGGGAAAAAAAACCCTCAAAATACCTCCAGAGGTGGGAGGGAGGGAGCTTTCCCTGTTGAAGTGTCCGATGCTGAATTCGCAGACCATTGTTTGCCGTTAGCAGCAAAGCAAAAGTTGAAAGGTGCTTTGAGGAATGATGATTTTGTTTCCCACTTGGAGCAACTAAACCCAGTACTCCTGGGGATTTTCAGGCACAGCTTCTGTACAATGGAGTGACCATGCAATAGCCGTAGGGTCAGGCTGAATCTGCCAAACCAAATTAAAATGTCACCTGTAGATGAGCATTGTTGACAAGATGGCAAGTGCTCCATCAGCAAAGGCCACTCTCACTTGGGCGAGTGGAAGAAATTCTTGTATTTTTCTCCATGTTGTGCTAAAAATGCATCTTGCCCTTTTCAGAATTTGGAGTATTAGTGTCTCTCTCCCCTGGAAGTTCATCCTCTCCCAGCATTAAATGGCTCCCTTTCTAGGACTACAGAGCTCTTGTGGATGGTAGATATCCCTGGACCTGATGGTTGCCACATCTTTTTCCCAAGCATTCGTTCCATGTTAACCTCGTCTTCATTTGGTGATCTTTGTTACTGTTACTGAGGAAATGGACTGATAAATTCACACAGCACCAGCTCAGAAATCCTTCCACCTTAGACAGGAATTAGCAAGCCTCTGTTGGGTCACTTGTCAAATGGCAGCGCTGATGATCTGCGAAGCTGTTGTGTTTGCTCCAGGGATTTGGAAGCAGCAGGACAACAGCTCTGAAGGAGTGATCAGTTTAAGTGGGCGGAGTGGGGGAAGGGAGGTGATTTTAAGTAGAGGAGCTGGGGTCCGATTAGGGTCCTCATCACAGAAGTGGTAGTGGGAAACAGAACAACACGAGGGGTTGCACGTGCCACTGAAATCTTTTCCCTTAGCTTGATGCCTTAGAACAAGTGCGTGTGTTTGCAAAGGAGACCCCTGCAGAGTTGCGTACTTCCACAGTTTTGTGCTCACTGTAAACGAAGGGCAGACTTGTGTGAATTCAGGCCTTGGTGCAGTAGGAACTATTATAGTCCCGTTTCAGTGGAAGTCGGGACCCACACAACAGGAATTTCCAGGAATTTCTGCGCTTTGCACCATGAGCATGTGCCTTGCATCTGCAAAGCAACCTACCTGTTTCTGTTTCCAGGATTACATGGTGTCTAGAGGGCCTGCTGTGGAACATCTACTGGACACTTCTGAGACCCCTTGGTTGTCTACGAGGAGGCGCAGAAAGCTTCCTCTGCAGAAAGCTGTGGTCGTAACATCTGTGGCTGGTGATCGCGTATCTGAGGGGCCTCTTACAGCCTGGAGAGCTGAAATTCAGTTCTGAGAGTTTCTCCAGCCTGTAAAGAGGCCGAGACTTCCTACAGCATAATGTTTAATTAAAATTATCTGGATGAGCAAAACCTAGAATTATTTTTGTGTGCATGCCCTTCTTGCTTTTTATCTTGTTGGCGTCGGAGTTTGTTCACGTGGGGTATGTAAAGTGGGCACTTTGGTTTTAAATTACATGGTTGTTTACAGAGACTTCTGTCATCTTCCTAGAAAGCATTCTGATTACTCCTTGGCAGCTTCAAGCCTTAAGCCTTAACTTTGTCACGTGGCTGCGTGGTGCTTCAAGCTGTACAATAATGGAGAATCTGCTGCAAGTTCCTCGTGATACACATAATCTCAAACAGGTGAAGTTCAAAGAGTAGACTTACGTACTTGTCTAGTTTCCATTGGGGTTTTGTAGTTTTCTAGCACTTAAAACATGTTTGAGAGCTCTGAAGTAACTGTTTGTTGTTGAGGGAGAGAAGAGTGGGGTGTGGGGAGGCAGGAGTGGTTTCTGTCAGTAAACATACATGTTTAGGACTGTGTAAATGTTTGGATCAAGCAGTACATTTCTAAAAATAGTACAAAATGAGATCTAAATACACAATCAGAAAGAATTAAGAAACCAGATGTGATATTTGTCTAGAAAGCAATTAATGCATCTCATTTTGTAAAGTTGCTCAAAATGCTCAATTTTCACCATTTGTATTACTACCAATGTAAAAGAATACACGTTGACTGGAATGTGCCAAATTAGGATTATCTTGAAGTTTGGTTCTGCAAAGGTTTCTGTTTGCAGTTTAAAATAAAAATGTTTTGAATACGCTTGGACCCATTTTATATTTCTAAAAGATGTCTGCAGTGATTTGTTACACTCCTGTTGAAGGAGTAGATGCTTACACAGTAAGCCCTCCACTCGACCTTCAGTCGGTGATTTTATTTTTTGTTGCTTTGAATGAAAACGGTGACAAATGGCAGCTGTTTGATTGCTTTTGCTCTGACTGCAGTAGCTTATTTGCAGGGTTTGTGGGCCAGAGCATTATAATTTTACAGGCAGATGCCATAATTGGACCCCATTATCCTAAGCTCATTTAATTGCCAGTTGGTGAAAGACTGGCAGTACTTAGTGCAGTAACTACCTGCTTTGTGTTGGGTCTTACCCCTTGTACACCTGCGGGTGCACCTGCTCTCGGGAGGCCCATTATCCCAGACCCCAGCTCTCTGTCAGGGTGAGGCCTGGGAGTAGCCACGTGTTCCTGGAAAGGACCGAGTGGCCTTGGAAGGTCATGGTTGTGACTTCAGAACATCCCCTGGCCACAGTAATTGGGGAATAGGGACCACAAGAAGTGGGTTTGTCTTGTAGGGTGGGTGCAGCCTATGCTTGACAGAGCTCCAGGATTTCATCCCTTGTCCTTCTGGGCAGCTTCCTCAAGCACATCCTGTACATGCTGCTGCCCATGAAGAGCAGGAAACCCCTAATTTTACTGTTCCCTGCAGTAATTTGGGAATGCAAGACTAGCAGGCTGTAAGGATGTAAAACACAAAGATCATCCTCCTCCAGCATTACAACTATTTAAAATCCTAGTATGGTCTGTCATTGGGCATTTGGGATGAAGCTCCTGCTGATTGTTATGTGTTTACCACAGGAAAAGGAATATCTAAAAAACTGTGCCAAACAGCACCTGCTCCAAGGTGGCAGAGCGAGGACTTTTGTGTGACTGTCACTGCGGTCACAGCCACATATTCCTGAGTTAAATCCTTATCTCTCTTGTGATGGGCAGGCTGTGCAGTGCTGGAGCCTTCACTCCTGTCCTTAGAGGCTGGATGTGTCCTTTGCTAGGAGAAGCTGATGGGATGCAGGGAAATACCAGCACCTGCCAGGTGAGGGTTTCTGAGCATGTGCCTGGGTGACTCTTCCCCTAGCCCGAGTTTCTCCACAGCTTAATGGTGCCTGTGCTCGTTCTGAGCACTGCTCTGGGTCCACCCTGCCTGCTGGGCCACATCTGCCTTGTTTGAGCTACCAGCTCTGTGGCAGCAGGACTGGTCTGACTAGAAATGCTTGTGGAAATTTGGGACAGAAATCGTTGTGTTTGCAGTTGTCACTGGTGACTTGGAAGAAGAGGAGGTGGCAGAGTTTTCCTTTAGGCACAGATTCCTCTGTGTTGGGGAGCCTGGACACACT